GGCTATGCGGTAGCAGTTGCCTTCAAGGCGATAGGATAATAAACAAGGCGCGTAAAAAGAAGAAAGAGAGGTGAAGGAATGGGAAACTAGAGTGTCGACACAACCTGTCCCTTAAGTTTAAATCGTGACATAACTCAGGGGAGTCAGAAGGGGAAATGAACTATTTACAATTAAAATGAATCCCATTGAACGTGAGGCAGCATGAGCGGGGAGAGCGAGGGAGCGAGAGGAAAGCCATCGAGGCTGACTTGAACTACACGCAGCCAGAAAATTAAATTAGCGAAGTGGAAGGAATGACGCGGTTAATGTCCATAAATTCGAGGCACAAAGGGAATTTCAGAAGGGGGGTAAGGAGGAGGAGGAGGACGAAGATGAGGAAGGGGGGGAGGAGGGTGAAACGAGAGAGGAAGAAAAGGGAAGGGAGGCGAGAGGAGAGGAGAGAAAGAGGGGGGAGAATGAATGTAAGGGGGGATTCAGAAGGGGAGAGAAGAAGGAACGAAGGGAGGGAAGGGTGAAAGAAAAATGAAGAGAAGGGAGGCGAGAGGATAGGAGGAGGGAAGTAGATGGAAGATTAGATGATTAAAAAAAAAGACGAAGATGAAAGGAGAAAACTGCAGATCTAATTAGTAATAAAAAGATAGCTCAGAAAGATTAAAAATAAATAATAATAAAAGTGAAAAAGAGACTGAGTCAAATGAAATGAAGAATGAAAAAAATGAAAAAAAGATACACAATAGGAGAAAAGACTTGAAATGTGGCGAGGACGAAAGAAAGAAAATCGTGGGAGGGCGACGGGCAGGGAGATGAAAGGGAGGGATTGCCTGAGACACTCGTAGCATTATTGAGGCGAAGGGTAAATAGCTCGCCTTTTGTACGCGGGGGAGACACGGGTCTTGACATGCCGCGTCCCCCAAGTAGCTGTTGTATGGTTTTGAGGAGAAAGTCTCACTGGCCAAGAAGGGGGTTTTGTTGCGAAGTTGAAGGGCAAGATGTGCGGGGAAATGCGATCTTTGCATCTATGTGTGTATCTGGTTGCGTGTGTGTGTGTGTGTGTGTGTGTGTGTGTGTGTGCGTGGTGTGTGTGTGTGTGTTGTGTGGTGTGGTGCGTGCGTGCGTGCTTGCGTGTTTGTGCGCGCGCTTATGTGTATGCATATTCAATAAATCGATGCATATGGCTGTTTTTGCACATATGTGTTTTCCTGGTATATTTAACCTTCAGTTCCATCTTAGGTTGCTTTTGCATGATTTAGATCGAGGCATTTGACGGTTTGACATTTATGCTGTGTTTGATGTGTCGTAAAGCTGAGAAGTGACGGGCGGAGGCGTAGGCCCGAGAGCCTTCCTCCATGGGCGTGAGGGGCGGCATTATCAGTATTTTATGTGCTTGTGCTGTGCAGGAGGAAATTATCACGTGGAGATAAAGTCTTATTTAGTAAGGCTGAGTGCAGATTGTCCAAAGCAGTTACACGCATGTCAGAAGACGACGGATGGATGTGGAGAGGAGTGCCAGCGCCTCTTTTGGCCGCGGGCTAACTTGAGTTTAATATGTTTTGAGTGTGTGGAGCAGAAGTGCCATGTGTGTTTTCCATTCTAGGGGGAAGCGTAAGCGGTTTTGCCTCATATTCTCATTCTTGTTTTAAGATCCGTCTCTATTTTTGTGCAATCCATGTGTCACAAATGAGCTGCGACCTGGCATCCAACTGGGCGCTTAAATATCTTACCAGTATATACATGTCAAGTTCAAAGTTATGTGTGTTTATGCTTCTGTATCTCCTGGCATCTCTGAACTACCCAAGAAGTCTCTTTGCTGCGTACTCTTCTCCCAGTCACAGAAAAGACTTCGCGGACAGTTTGACATTTACTTTATTCCCGTGACAAGTCGTCGAGAGTCCTGTCAGCTAAACGCGTGTATGTGTCGCCGTTATGCCTTTCGTCGCCGCGCCGCCAGATCGTATCTCGTTCGCAGCCGTTCAAGAAGGGGGTCCCTTTGTAAAGCCTGTCCCATTAAGCGTAGATGCATTCCCTTTGATATTGTCTACGGGCTCGGGAGGGGAAGGGGGGGGGGGGGGGCAGTGCGCCAACGAACCCTGGTCTCCTGACGTAGGTGCTCTGAGCCAAACAAACGGCGACGACAACGACCGTGACAGGAGTGTTTGTGAACCCGCGTGAGTCTGCGATGACGGGGAGGTGACGTCACAAGGCGGTGATGGGCGTGTTATGTGGGTGATGTTGTGCCGGGGTGGTTTATGGTGTTTATGGGGGTGTTGGCGGTGTTTATGCTTAGTCTCTACACTCGACTTCTACCCTGTCGGGCGAAGGGGCCGTCGGGAAAAAAGGCTGCTTGAGTAATCAACCGAACGTATCTTGTTTCCAGCTGTTTTGATCGACTGAGTGGCATGACAAGAGGAGAAAATGAAAGATGGGAAAAGGAAAACGAGAATAAATGGAGAGAGAGAGAGAGAGAAACAGACCGACAGGCAGACAGAGACAGAGAGTAGAGTTGTTGTAACAAAGCTTTTATACAAGATTCTCCAATCGGTGATGAGGCGTATTACTGGAATGTGTTGCTTCGAGGATGAGGAATGTATATAAATAATTCATGGAATAAATAATCGAAACGGGCCTGAACACCACACAGTGTATAAGTCTCTTGTGTTCTGGAATAAGACTTGCGTCATGCTTATCGTCTGTCTTAAACTTGCCCTCTGACTTCCTGTTGTTCCTTCAGATTAGCGGGGCTATTTTCCTTTCTCATCCGGGTTTCTTTGTTTTAAGATCGCAAACCTCGTGATAACAGCTACAAAAGTCTATGCTTGAGTTCATGTTAGTGGTTCTGTGAGTGCTGATATTTTTGGCTATTACTCCTGACTTTGGTCATTTCTTCGTAGGTCATATACGTTTTATCTGCTATCACTAAGCATCAAATCGTAATTGACTTTCGTAGCCCATAGACCTTCCCCCACATGACAGGGATTCTTAATTGAATAATCACCCTCATCCTCCCAGGCCTCCCCAGCGCCTCCTTCGACTGCCCTCATCCTTGTCGCGGCCACCCTCGAGGCAGGGCAGGAGGGCCGTTGCTGTCAGTTCCTTATAGCCCGCCTGGCATTCCTGATAACTACGTAACGACTTTCAAGATGGTTTTAGGATTATAAGTGATGCCGTCTTGGATGCGGAGATGATCGTAGACAGGCCTCGGTTTACTGTATGAGCGACTGGTGGATCAGAGAGGAAAATCGCGAGCTGTGTTTGTTGCCTCACTGACTCATCGCGCAAAGGATTTGTGTATTTGTTTAGATAGTGACTACGACGTGTTTTGTGTTGGCGTTCATCGGGTACGCGATGAATGGAATATCTGAAGCCACTCTGATAATAGTGCGAGAGATGAGAAAGTGGTGAAGTCATACTTGAAGGTGGAACCTTTGAAGAAAATTGGGATTAGTTTGTGATGATTCAGTAATCATTTGTCACCATTTATCATAATCTTTGGGAAATGCCAGAAATGACAATAACGGTGCTTTGGAAACAGGAAACGAACAGTACCGTTTCACGAAGGGTCCGTTGTAAGTGCAGTAGTTCAGAGGTTAATGGCGCATTATCCACGCAGCAAGCAAGGACCTGTACGTGCGCAGTGTGGATAAATGGCGGTTTGTAATGAGGTTGTCGCAACAAATGGGGTTCTTGTGGAGGTCGTATCAACCGAAGAACAAGTAGCTTGTTCACGTCTTGTGTCTCGCGATCAGAAACGCCTCTGTTATATATTTACACGGTTTCAACAGCCAAGGTCGTTATGCAACCTCTGGCGATGCTTTCTTTCGATGCGTTATGCCGAGCGAGGATAAGAAATGATGCTACTTGTGCGTCTTTCTCGGACGTCACCAATCACGACACTAAAAATTGGAAGCTCTGAGATAACGGCGCTGTCGTGGCGCAAAAGAGACTCTTCACAGTACCAAGCATCGGCATTTGGGCATATGCTAAGATGGCATAGATAATTGCCGTCATCAGTTGTTCTCTCTGACCTTCACGGCTTGGATGGGATGCAGACATGGGGGTTTTGCTGTCGTGGAAAGGGAAGCAATCAAGGTCGTCAGATGACTTAATTGCGAATATCTCATTTATTTGAGAAAGAAGTTAATGTAAGGAAGTGCGCCCTCGTGGTTTCAGTTTCGACATGTTGATGTTTTTGGGTCCCCGCCGTAGCACGCACCTTTGTCAGCATTTTCTCTCTCTCTCTCTCTCTCTCTCTCTCTCTCTCTCTCTCTCTTCTCTCTCTTCTCTCTCTCTCTCTCTCTCTCTCTCTCTCTCTCTCTCTCTCTCTCTCTCTCTCTCTCTCTCTCTCTCTCTCTCCCAAGAATGTTTAAATATTATTTTTTTTCATAAAATCACATTTCAGACAAAAATATCAGGAATGACTCCGTA